GCAGTATGCTCGTCCTTTGACAGATAGTTGAATATCTCGCCAGTAGGCACCACAGATGACGCCAGTTGGGAGATGCGAAACGGGTCTTCTGTATGTGAGTTGAGATGTTGTCAGGAACCAGTCTAGTCGATCTGGTGCAGCTTCCTAAGTTGGTGAAGTGGTTGACCTATTCCACCACTTCACTCCCTATCATTAACCGATGGTGATTGAATCGCAATACTGTAGCATCTTCTTACATTTTGCAGATGTGAATGAAGAAAGATTTTCGTCAGAATGATTCTGTTTTATATATCCTAAGAAATACGTATGTTCATATTTTTTTTAGAAACTACCTGATAATGAGCAGGACCCAAATGGAATGAAAATGTAAGTTTCATGCAGAAATGCAGTTATCAGCACTGCAGCTCTTTTCCGAATGGTGCAATATGACAACCATGAAGTAGCATCCTTTTAGTAAATAAGACAGTAATAAAAGCACAACCTACTAGAAACCGATGCCCATGTAAACAGTTTCAATACGTTATGAATAATATGTGATGCTAGAAGATTAAATAGGCGATACCTAAGATAAATAGTGTAAACGAGAAAGTACGCAATACAGTGGCAAGTGAGAGAGGATAAATTGATCTATCTGAATGTGAAGGAAATTAAATTCGACTGTTTTGCATTTCACGCAATAAAAAAATGAATCTTTTGAATACTGTTTATTTGTGAAAAGTAGTATGGGAGTTGAAATGAAATGATACGAATGTGCATATGATATTTGAAGAGCGCAAAACGAAAGCATTTCCAGATCTAAATTCTCTTTTTTTGTTCTACCGTTTTATAGCACTTGTGAAACATATGACGACATGCAAGGTCTTCAAAAACCATAAATGAATGAATGATATACTCTAACTCTTTGCGGCAAGGAAGGTCAAAATTCACACTTAACCGAATGCACACATGGAATGACATTCAATTAATCAAAAAGTGTTTTGATTAGCATAGTATTTCAAAGGGATTTAAATTCAGTAACAAAAGTAAGGATTTTAGGAAAAAGTAAATTTGATTACTGGTGTTTCTGACAAGAAAGTAATCAAATAAATGAAATGATATTCTGGTAAGTTTACTGATGAATTGAAATTAGCTTGCCAAAATGATTACAGGAATAAAAACGAAATGAGATCAACTTTCCGCTGAAAAGCTCTAATATACTGGTAAAAGCTACCTTGCTTCCAAGGCGCAAACGGCTCTGACTATGCTCAAAACACCAAGTAGATACCATGTCTTGTATTTACCAAATGCAATTTCTAACGCAGTTTCTGGTCGATTTGACAGTAACTTTATGAATCAATGTAAGTATAGCATCTTAGCATTTCTATAGAATGGCTTTTTATATGATATTAATCTACTGATATTGCACACACTGTTATTACATGATACAATAAGCACCTGATCTCACTTCCTTTGATACTTCAAATAGCATTTGATAGCCTTCAGCTTTCATCGGTCTTTAATTCAGTTGTTCAGTTGCATGTCAGATTACATTTAGTTTTCTGATTATTCCGTGTAGTTCTTCTCCTAGTTACTGCCTACTGGCGAGTCTTTTTTTACTCTAACGTTTTCTTTTGACACTGGTTTACATAAATGAAGAAAGTTAGTCATCTTTGATACAAAGAATGCTAAAATTTGGGATGGTTGAAGAATTTGGCTTCATGTTAAGAAAGTCAGGTCAGTTTGTTGGAAAACTTTCGAACAGTATAGCCGTAAATTTCATAAATCCAGGTAGAGGCTTAAGGCAGTATGATAAGACACAGCGGAATGGTTTCATTTTTTGACAATAATTTGTTATTGTTATTATTAAATATATCGTAAGCGGATTATAAAATTAAATAATCATAGTGTACAACTAGACTGGGGTAAATGAGTGGAAAGAGTGCACTGTACAGTGCAGTCAAGCCACCCAAAGGAAGGCATGAATTCAATCCTCTTCTGATTAATAACTAACGTCGAGCTCACACTTCACGCCTTGGAGATGTAGAAATAATAAGGCTTACATCACTTCTGTGATTGAAACCCTACATTTTACTGCATTCACATTGCCATATTTCAAGATAAACTTCATACCGCATGTTGCACCCCTGACGTCCTTAACAATTACAGGTGATTCACCCCTAAGTTACTCTCTGAGCACAATCCTCTTGTACTGATGAAAAGTGTCTCGCAAGCATCCATAGAAAAACTATTGTAGATCAAGTCTTGATCGGTCCATCGTTAATTTCAATAGACAACATCTTCAACCATTACATTCTTCATTCGTTTCTTGTAATGTTTAAGATTGTGGTAAACTTGATGTTAAGCTGAGCTTCGTGCAGCTTTCTAAACAGATTTGGTGCATGATTTCTGTTGCTACGAGTGACAATTTTGTTGTCTACCTTTTCACTGTAACATACAATCTTCCGTATTTTTGATGCAGCTGACTGCCGGATTCATCGGCCAATTTTGAGCTTAGTGGCGAATACATTACTATTCCAGTCTTTGTGACTGTAGACTACAGTCAACACGACACACGATTTTTTGTACATCTTTCATCCTGTTTTTATAATCTACCAATGGAACTAAGTGTTTATGTTGTCTAGTAATAACTGACGTCTGTATTCGAGAAATATGCTCTATTTGCGTGCTTTGTTTACTTGAATCTTGAGGAGAAATGCGTGAGCAGTTAAAAATACTCTGTTATTTGAAAATCATTTGATATTACGTCAGTGCATTCAGCTAGCCAGATTCATGTGATGTGAACTAATTCGGCCGTATCAGATGAAATTGTTGGGACACACCGCTGATGAACTCGGTCCTGAACGAGCGAAATAGCCACCCGGTGTTTAGGTCACTCTGACCTTGGTAGCCAAATTTGCATACCACACTAAATTGTTTCTGACTACCCATGTTGATCAGCAGGTAAAACGTTTTTAAAATAATCACCACTTTGTGCATATCTTTAGTTAAGTCTAATTGCTTGATTAATCTGATATTTTCACGTCGGTACTCCTGTCTCTTTTGAAACTTCGTGACAAAATATTGGTTGTGAAAGGCTTCACGGATTCCACACTTTTTATGAGAATCTGGACAATCCTATCGCTTAATCTGGCATCTCCCCAGTCACCATTTTCACGAGGAAACTTGGTGAAGAGTGGGGTAAAATGCTAGAGAACGCAGGGTGAAATGAAAGAGATAAACGCGGAGCCGAAAACAAGGGGTAGAACTCAGGGAAGCCTTTCTAATTGCCAAGTATTTCTCCGCGTCTTGCCCTAAGTTTTCAATGCAGTTGTTCCGCATGGCCCATCGTTCGGCTCGAGAAAATGTTAACCGGTCCCCTCTTGAAAAACAGATCCGTACTGCTTTTTGACTGACTGGTAACCTTTCGCTGGGTTGGGAGAAATTACTTCTCAAAGCTCTTCTACCATATCTCTGTCGTGACGCAATTTAAAGAGATGGAATTACATCCATGAAAGCTGTCTGATAACCATAGGAATAATTTCGTACACTACTGCTGAATCAATAAAGCATTCGTGAACCAACAAAATAACTGTCTGAAGATATCTTCACCATCATACTGATTAGCAACTAAGCCACTGAAATTTTCAGTACAACTCACCACAGTCATTCATTTCTACCTTCTCTCTGATGATACTTATCGCAGTTGTGTTGACATATTTAAGAACGTATCTAACGCGAAACTGACAGATACTAAGGCCAATCAGTATTTATCGGTATTTGTTATAAGTTCACGAGTACAACTCAGCTCAGAGAACACAATACATTTAGACCATCCACCCGAGTCACAAATATTCTCCACTGTCACAAAATGATGCTTACGTGCAAGTCACACAAACTCACTAGCATTATGTTGAATAAAGTTATTTGGAATTCTCTGATCTCAAGACAATGACTAGTGGACTTATTTTGAGGTGAACTTTGTTCGACACTAATCGCCTGTTGTAACAAATATGATGTGAAAGATATTACTGCTAACAAATGAACTTGTCAATCATTGGTGAGAAGAGTGTAGAAAATGTGACGCTCCAATAGTTCACATTATGGACTGGGCAGTTTTCACCTCATGGTTTCCAGGACTGATTTCAAGTGTAGACACTTGGCCTCCACTCTGCTCTGAACAACATGGAATTCGATCAGAACGGTTTGAGGTGGAAATCGTTACTTGTGGAGATCAAACAGCAGGCGGAATATCTAAGGAACGTGTCCTGAATATGTAAACGAAGCCAGTCGTAAGAAAAGTGTATGTTATCGATATGTTGGGACTATTGCACATGAAGCCTTTTGACATCTTGAGACCTGAATCAATAATATTCAGTGGATGAATTTTATGCATTCGAAACCAGTATGAAATCTGGAGCAAGAACCTAATCTAGAGGAATTACTAGGAGTTGACATTCTACAGAGAACCTCATCAGAGGAAAGCACTCACACTTCCATCCGTAACAGATGTTCCAGCTTTCTTGCAGAAGCTCAACTCTTAACATGGTTGCCACCATACACTTGATTTCGTTTACACCTTGCATAACCGGTTATTTATTAATTCGGACATACATTCTAACTGCTTAAACAGGTTGACCGCCTTTTGAGAAAATCAACTATGTTTAACGAGGCAGGTTATACGAATCATTGCTATTTGCAGCCAACAGTTTATTCTAGCATTTTCAATCGGCCTGGATGAATCAGTGAGTACTTGCACAACGTCTGTACTCAATACACCTGAATGAATAATGAGTACATCTTCCGAAAATTTGCATAAATAATGTCTGCTAAATACCTGGAAACAACACCTAGATTTCACCAACCATCCTCATTGATCCGAATGAAAAAGCAGTTTATTTACGTCAATGTTTGCTTGGGTTGCAATACAAAATGGGGCATCTCATATCAAAAACGAAATCAAAATGAGTGTGGAGTCGTTGGAATAAATAATGTCATGTATTCGGGATTTCTACGTTCATCTGCTAAGCCTTAGCGTTTGGCGAGTGTTGAATTCTTTTTGATTTGAGAAGAGGCAGAATACACCTTGAAAAGAAGATAAAGTGATAGTGAGTACAGAAGACTGTAAGACATTCAACATTTCTATCTGTTGAATAAGTAATAAAAAAGGCATCTTCATCGTTTTTCAACTACCTTCGTTATCCCATAATGGTGATAACTTTAGAGATTTATATTCTTTTACTCCGTATTTCAAGTCTTTTCAATTCGCTGCTTAGATCCTTAGTGTGATATACCGTATAGTGTAGATGGCTTCAGCCAGGAATTCATAGCAGTCAGTTTTGGGATTCCTGGCTTTCAGCATCACTGCATATCCTAAATGTCAGTCAGTCAATGCTCACTGAGAGAGTGTGCAGGCAATGAAGTTACTTCAGAACTGTTCCATCGCTGGATAATTCGTTGTCAAACTGTGTTCCATTAACGTCATGTTTGGTATCATGCAGTGAGCGGATATTTTATCTGTGCATGTTTCACTTCTTTTATCGAGCTATCTCTGAGTGTACTTCCCGAAGGGGTTGCATTTCTCCAACTAATTCTCGTACATAAAACTGCCGCACTACATACACACAGTGAGCTGACTACTTGGCAGTAATGAGTTCACTTGTTTGCCGGGCTGGAAATCCTCATATTTATTGAATATCTTTTTGGTTGCTAGTGTAGAGACCGTCTTCTTCCAACTACTGTTGTCAGCCATCTTACTCAACGATTGAGATACACCACTGACTAGTGCCCTCAAGAGATCGGCTACGCACCGCTGCTGTCCAACAGTTTTCATCGTTTGCGTGAAGTGAGGCTCAGTGTGAGATCGAATGTCATCTCGATATGTGTATCCATCACAGTTTTATTACTTCTTGCCTAAAAGTAGAGTGTCGACTGCATTCTGTGTGTTTACTCAGACTGCAGTGACTCAACTACATGACTCTCATGCTGCCTGAATGTCTCTTTGAGACACATTCGAGAATCGGCATGAACCCATGCACTTGATTTACTGCAGTCTGTTTGCAGTCATATACAGTCATATGTCTATCTAGTGGGCATACTCCATTTTACAACTAACTACTTGATGAAATGTGTACACAATTAGCTGTTGGCCTTATGAGTTTCAACCATACACAAACGAAATATTCCTTGTAATGGATGACTTACAAATCAAAAATTATCGTGATTACCATCACTGCACCGACAGTAATAAACACAGCCTGAGGAAATACTGTGACGGTAGCAGCATACAAGGCTGGGAGAGCAGTCAGACTAATCAGTATTCCAATACGAGCAATAAATCCACCAAATGATTGAATCATCCCTGTTCAAATGGAGAAGAGGTAAATTATCTCTCAGTTTTACTTCAGTTGAACTGCTAAAATAATATACATATTTTACATGTACAACCCACTATCTATATCTCAGTGCAGTTTCATGTTATTATGAGTGTAAGTCGAGTGAGTGGTAAGCGACGTGTTTTTCGAAAGGCTGTGTTGGCAGCCTGATGCAAAGCTGTAGATTATATGTTATGATTTTTGAGGAATTTAATAATATTGAAATATTGAAATACCCAGTGAAATATAGTTAGTACTCAGTGCGAGGCCGGTTGCTGATAACTGTTGCATGTCCGTGACGTTTCATTGGAGGTGTATGTCGATGTGTCTGTCACAAGGGATTTCTTCTGAAAGTTTCAGTTGGACTTTGTGCTCAGCAAACTTATTCATCAACTACAGGTCTTTTTAAAGTGAGAATGTTAGCTACAAGTCAATCCCGACTGATGATGTGATGTAGTTTAAGTCTCCGACAGATGATCAAACTGTGCAGCAATACCCATCAGTGTATCAGGTGTTGCAAGTAGCCTTGAAAATGAACAATTTCCTTGAAATATTCCTCGTTGTGTAGTGAGCTTCAGTTGGTTTGAATGTAGTAAGTGTCACTAATTTCGGTAACCTTGTATCGATTGTGACCTACTGTTTTCCATCACCATTTAGGATCGAATTGTTCCACGCCAGTTGGGATATGGGCTCAAATGCCGTTGCCTCGATATTGCCTCAACATTTATTTCCCTATTATTTGTGGATGGTAATTCACAGTAAAACTGCATTTGTAGTTGTTTCTGGAGAAGCAGAGGTATTCCGTAAAGTGAAGTTTAATGATAAACTGTGCATATCGAAAATTTGATTTATTTGATACGACAATAAAAGATGTAGTGTTGTATGTTGGATGATATTCTGCTGACATTTTATTGCCTGTATTCTAATCTGCGTGCTGCAGACAGCATCAAGAAGCTTGTTAAGTGGCCGTACAACCCAGAAATTGCAGCAATCCGACTACAGAATCTGTCTAAGCTTTGATAACTTGCCTGATGTCCTCCTCACAAACTGGTTGACTTTCTAAAGTCAAAAAATAAGTAACGTGAGTTACTTGGATAGCCTTTCGGATTGATGATGGAAGACTTGAATTGTTACACTTGTCAGTCTTTCGAATACGGAGAAATTCAGGTTATTATGTAGGACCTACCATCAAACCAGATAAATGTGACAGACACCGTCATTTTACTGAACAGCATGTGATTTTATATGATACTGATCCTTATCTATTAAAAAATGCATGTATTCTGAGGTGATACGCAAAAATAGTTTATGATAGTAGACAGAACCTATGTTCATTGTCTCCTACTGTTTGAAATTAGTCGCTTATCTCATCCCACAAGCTATCGGAACTACCGGCCTATTTGTAGCGCAGTGACTATACTCACTGTCTGACCAACTTTTGAGCATCACACATAACCCTCCTAATGACATGAATAAAATTCAAGGTGAGTCGGTATGGATGAGTTTGATGAATTGCTTTTTGGCCTTCCAACCCAATACAACTCTGGTGATTCTTACATATAAAATCCATGCATGAAGCACGAAGATACATCTGTCTCTTTCAGTAAGATTCTCTGTAGCAATTCAGTCCATATGAGATTAGAGTATAATTACAATTTTACTAGTTTCATCCTGAATTATCATGATGATTAACATTGTGTTTTCAAGATTTGTGTAGGTGCTTAATACGTTGCATTTCGTTCTTTCTGATATCTTGAGTTGCTTGATATGTGTCAATGCAGATGTTACCAATTCACTTCTAGTTTATCCTGAGTGACCATTTTACTGCGACCTCTGGGCGTTCCTGGTTATCAACCAGACTGTAGTCAGTGATTCTATATCAGAAGAATATTCTGAGAAGTATTCTTGTTCATTTGTGACAAGAAGTGTTTATGAAGGATGCAGTCTATGTGGTAGAATCATGGGTAAGTGTGAAGCAGCAAGACGTGACAAGTTGTAGCCTTAAGTTTTCGATAATGGAGCTAGAAAATTGCTAAATACAGTGATGAACGTATTAGGTAGTATATAGAAATCAGAGTTAGTGCGATCAGACTGATCTACTTCGCCGATCATACCGGTCCTTAAGAAGGGACAGAAATCTTCTTGTGACATACTTATGGGAATTAGTTTGACTAATATCTTATCGAAGATACTTGCGTCCACAGTTATCCGACGTCTAACGAGAGCTCGAGAACAGCAAACTTATGAAACCATACAGGTTTCAGACCTGGAGGAGAGTGCATCGATCATTCTTTTACCCTTTGACAGGTTTTGTAACACAGGCGTACTCATCAGTGGCCAGCACTTGGAATATTTCTTGATCTGAAGGCGAAATTTGACCCTGTCGACCGTGAGGTGTTGTTGTAACGTCTGTAGGTGAAAAAAGTATGCAGAAAGTGTTCAATGCAAATTAATGCTCTCCACCCGAAAGTACGAAGCCATATCTGGGCTTACGAAGTGTTATCATCAGAACTGATAACAACTAGTGGCATGCAGCATGGATGTCCACTTTCACTGTTCCTATTTAACTTCGTTATAAGTGCTCTAATGCAAAATAACCTTAGGTACTGCTGACTTCACACGGATTGATCTACTCCGTGGAGGTCATCTTGTCGACTATGAGTAATCGCACGATACTGATCTGCTGAGTGAAGACACTGACAAGACACGGGGTCTTTAGACCGCGTTAGAAAAAATCTGAGTATGATTGGCATGCGTTTCGCTGGCGCATGCCAGTTGTTAAGATGACGCCACAGCATTGCGATCAATCACCATCGGGTTAATGATAGGGAGTGAAGTGGTGGAATAGATCAACCACTTCACCAACTTAGGAAGCCGCACCAGATCGACTAGACTGGTTCCTGACAACATCTCAACTCACATACAGAAGACCCGTTTCGCATCTCCCAACTGGCGTCATCTGTGGTGCCTACTGGCGAGATATCCAACTATCTATCAAAGGACGAGCATACTGCGCTGCAGTTCGATCTGTCCTCTTATACACCTGCCAAACACTTCCGTTGGAGACAGAGGACATGAAGCGATTACACAACTCTGATCACAGATGTCTTCGCAGAACAGCTCGCTTTTGGTGGGATCACAGAGGGGTCAATGTTGGCGTTGGTCAAAGGGTGCTAGGCTAGAGAGGCTAACCAGTTGATGAGGTTGTGAATCTCAGTCGACTGAGATGTCTTGGACATGTGTTGTGCATGCCGAGTCACCACGTACCTCGATGTGCCACGCTAGAGGAGATTGGATTAGGTTGGAAGAGAGCTCAGAGTTGCCAGACCAGATCTTGAAACCAATACGTGAAGTCCCTGACTGCCTATTTGACCAATGTGGGGAGATGTAGACCGCCGATCTGGTTGGAGTCCTGAAGACGAAAAGAATCAATGTCTGAGGACTCTTGGTAACGTGGTCGAAAATCAGTCACAATGGCGCAGACACATTCACTTTTCCATGTCTTCTAAAACTTGAATTCCCACATTGACTTTCATTCTCATATTGTTTATTCTCTCACACAACTTTGTCTACTTTGCTATCACTCTTTTTCTGTACACCTATGCTTTGTATGTTACTGTGAAGTGTGGCATCTTGAGCTGATACACATGCTTGTGAGGTTACGTTGATTTTGTCTGTCTCTCTGGACGTGTGGACCAGCTGAAATATGTGATTTGAAGAAGTGTCTGGTGTATCACAACAGTAACGGGCAGAAAACAAATCTTCACCAACAAGTATGCATTCTTCTTTTCACTAATTGAAATGAGTTTACTGCATCATTTAACAGCGTGCGAATGTTAATTTCGCAACTGGACTTAGTCGTAAACAAGTCTATTTACACCTTCGATTCCCACTGCAATACATATGGAAGGAAAATACGATGAAACTCTCTCACTGAATACTAAAAGTGATTGGATCTGAAGAATGTAATGTAGATTGTTTGCTGAATTACCCATGACCGAACTATTTGGTTGCTTTGCCATAATGTCTGCACTTCGTCTGTGGTTTCAAAATACAGTGAATGAGTAGAGGTTTGTTACAGAACTCAGAAGTCCGAGATCACTTAACTTGTGGAACTCAGGAGAAACCATTCAATTAACTTAATATTAAGATTCCACTTCTGTGTCAAGATTGCACACGGAAATTTCCCGCTTATTTATTTGACATGGCTACTTATGGATTTCGTAGATGAAGATATTTTGATAGACAGATAAAACAGGATACACAGTAGAGAATACCACTTCTTTTCCAAAATGATTTTAACCTACCTTGATTACCAGGTGGTGTACATATGGAGAACATTGAACGGGCGATGGGAGCAACCAAACTTTTTACCAATCGAGGAATAGCAGCTATTGTAGAAAGAAGAATAAACCACACTCATTGAAAAATCAGTATGTCTGTGGGACATATCTTATTAGACTGAGTTTCATTCCAAAGGTAAGTTCAAATCTGGGCATAGATTACATTTGCATGGATCTCAGGATGCTCAAAATGTAATGATTGCAACATCAGCTGGAAATCTAATCAAATGGTGCTTAATATTTTAGTGAGCAACTGTCAGAATGTTGTACACTTGTAGCCATCATCTCTTCTCATGTCTCGTACAAAGAATACTGGAAAATGAAGTTCGGAATGTGGAGGAGTTCCCACAGAAGAACTGGTTACTCTTTTTTGGTGAATGTTAAGTATGCAAAGCAGAACGAAGCCCACAGATGCACGTCCACCAAATAAAATATGGCGAATGAAATGTGGTATATGAAGAGGAGAATGTTAGCTTAAAATATACGTGGTTTGCTGAAGCTGGTCATTACTAACACAAATTCATAAAGCTTCATGTGATGCTGGGAAACTTACAACGAAGTCAGTGATCGTGTTACGCACACAGAAGAATGAGAACACAACAAGGACTTTGTGGAACAATTGCTATGAAATATTTACGATCATGGTAGGAAGATCAAAATCTGAGCTACTAAGAATCTGAGTAAATCCCATAAGACTGAACAGAAAAGACGGAGTGCAGTAGTCGATTGGTGAACGTTGGATTGTAAAACTTGTGAGCATACTTTCATTGACAGTCATATCTCCCTTATACTCTGAAATGAAGGAATATATTTCCCCGCTCAATCAGTCTTTTTTCTAAATGTAAAAATGATGATACGTATGTACATCTCATATATCTCATTGTATCCACACATATTTGTTTAATTCCCTTAGTTCATATTCATTAAATGCCATAACATTTGGACATACCTCTCCAGCATTGTCTATACTTGAAGTTACCCAGTGTTTGCATTTTACTGCTCATGAGGTATAGTCCTTTGAGCCTAAAACCTAATACACACCTAATTCTGAGCTGAACAATGGCTGTCTGGAATGCGGGCTAATGACTGACTAGATCTATGAGAATAAATTTCCCACATTTATTTATATTTTGACAGTCTTCATGACAGTGGAACTAAATATATGCTGTACTGAAGTCTCAGTGGGAATACTGTTACCATGGGATGTGAATGGATTTGCCTGATTAGTTCCACGTTCGCCATTAGCCAATACCAAATAATGCACCGATACTCCATGTTAGGAACTCATTTATGGATTCTGAGGTGACAACTAAATCTTTGCAATGCGAAAGCGTGAAATGGAACCCTTAATCATAGCCTTAATCATAGTTACCTAAATACACGGAATCATATCTCACAGTATATGGATGCTGCTGCTTTCCCCGAGATGCTTGGCAGCATGTTCATGTAATGATGTCACACTGGTGTCAAAAATAAAAATCGTTTTCATTTCTACCATCAAAGTGTAGAGTGAAGGCGATTGTCCACTTTAGTCGACAGAAGGGTCTTCTTGCTGATTGAAAAACGTAGACATACTTCACCTATCATTTGATCACTGGGAAAAACAGGAGAGCAATGTGAAGTGTTGGAGTGTGAGGAAACAATACAATGTCACACCGATCTGAAACGTGTTTTGAGTTTGCAGCATCCCATCAGTCTTTCCTTCGACAGTGTTTCTCATAATATCTTCATTCTAGTAAACTGTGTTTGTATGTGGCTGCGCTGAACTGAGCTGATCAGAAATGAAAGGATGTTTTTGAAGACAATGAGGGAGAATGTTCGCGTAGTATAACAGAAAGCTGGCAGACAACGTTTGCTTCAACAACCTGCGTTCAGAAATTTAATTTCTGCAGATATTTCAGCATCAGCACTGTCCTACTCGATACAATACTTTATTGAGTGCCGAGGAATGAACTGCTAAACAATTCAAAGAGCGTGGAACATGCAATGCATGTCTGATACTCGGGTTCTAAGCCCATACAAATATTTTATGACGTAGTTTAGACAAACATTCACGACGTACCTGCGTAGACAATAATATTGGCTTTGTGTGTTGGAAATTGATAAGCAACAGCCATAAGTACTTTGTTCACCGTCATCATAGCTAAGGAACCTGCCAGAGTGAATACAAGTAATTTCATGTGTCGTATGAAAGATAATGCTGGTGCATCGTTGATGATTTCCGTTTGTGATGACAACGTTTCTTCACTCACTGGACGTTTCTTTTTGGAATTCCGTCTTTGTCGGAGTCTAACAACAATTATTGTGTAGGCGATTCCCAGCGAGGATGAAATGAAATCACTGACACCTCTAGAAATAAGTTCAAAAGGATAATTGATAAGTAGTGGAAACTCTTTGATGAAGTAGAGTTTGAGAATGCTCAACATTTGCAACTACTTTCAGTAATCAACAGTCAGAAATCAGCATGGAATATAATTCAAAATTTCCAAGCCATTGGAATGTCGGTTCCCTGGAATGTTATCCCAGGTATGAAATCAACGCATCTCACACCATAAACAACTATTGTTGAGACACAGACAGCGGGAATGAGCAGTGTTGCAGTAGAACAAATGGAAATCATATGTTCAAGCTTGGTCAACTGATATCAACTCGCTTCACGTGGAGCTACTTGATTCATCGGTAAAACAATTTCTAGTCTACACACTAGCATATTTCACTCTTGCTAAGTGAAGTTGTTTTCACCTCATAGAAGTCAGAATAATGAGAGTAAGTGATCTCACCTGGTGCAGAATGCGCTGAGTGGTTTATGAAGATAGAATTTCAATGAGAATCCACTTAAATGCTGATGTTTTAACAAACCCTGGTGAGCAGTAAGCTCGTTCGATCTCATGTCAGTTATGTACGTTTCATTCATCTCAGAATGCATACCTAACATGCTGGTTACCTAATCTAGCAGCTTTTAAACAGTGATCATGTATTCATTGTTGAATCATCAAGTTCGTGATGTTTACTCACAGTATGAAACCAGCGACATTTGGATACAGATTAAACGAACTGTTTTGTTACATGTGTGAGCAAGCTAAGTGTCTTGATCAAACTAGCTGATTTAATTAGAAGATATGTGTAGCGAAGATCCCACATTCATATGACATTTCCTTATCCCAATACGCTGATGATCGAAATCTTCATAGAATTTATAGAACTGTCTTTCGTTTTTCAAATTTGAAGATGAGGAGTAACTTCATTTGAGGAATGTCAGTGTGTCATTTATTATTTACGGTAAATATGATTACTGACAAGCAATGCAAGAGGAGTAGACGGCTAATCATTTGACTTATTTTGGAAATGAATAAAAATATGAAACGTTTGCTTACATGTGTATTCCCACTTGTTGAGGATTCCACAAGAATGGTGAGCCCATGAGGTAAATAACAATGTATTGAAGATTGATAAAGCAAGTTATTGAAATGAGTATAACAACTATTATGACCATTATGAAGAGTAGTACCAGAAATACCATCAGCAGGCACAGAATTACCATTAACCCAAGACCTCCGACAAAATCAGAAATGTAGTCCAGACCGTCATAAAGTGTCTGAAACCCGGGAAAGCAGCGGGACCAGATGGAATTCTACCGGAGGCATTGAAAACAGACGAAGAGACAACAGCAGACATTCTCACATCACACCGCTACTACAGAAGGATTGCAAGGAAGGAGAGGTAACTTCCGACTGGAAGAAGGGCTACCTTTTTATCTCCCACAGATGGTTGATCTAAGCCTTTGCAAGAACTGGTGCGGAATCGCGCTCCTGTTTACACCAAGCAAAATATCAAGCTTCATCTTCGTGGGAAGACTGGAAAATGCTCTGAATTCGAAATTACGACCGGAACAGGCTGGCTCGCTGGCTTCAAGGAGAACAAATCAAGTGGGTATCAAACTGCAATACTACGCTACGCATCATCATAATACAGAGAGTAGAATGGCAGTCAACTCTCTACCTCAACTTCATGGATTTTGAAAAGGCCTTCGATATCGTCGACCGAGGAATAATTTGTCAGACGGCTGCTTCAACTCTACGGTTATACTACGATAAACCTTTACCAACCTCATTCAACAGCTATATGATATATGTCGAGTGATTTACAGTGGGAAGCTCAGTAACGTCTTTGAAGTGAAGACAGGAGTAAGATAAAGTTGTCTTCTATCACCGATAATCTTCCTGAGTGTGGTCGACTGGACTGGATTACGCAACAGACTATGAGGAGTGAGAAGTGGGGCATACACTGGCTGAACCGATGAAAAGATCCCAGAAGGAGATTTGGTTTTCACCGATGATAATTCATATCTGTCTTGTTGCACAAACTGGAAGATCTACAAGCGAAGGCTAACAAGTTGACAGAAGAGGCGAGGCAGAGCAGCGAAGACGGGACTTCGTTCAGGTGGACGTAGAGAAGACAGAGGTGATGAATATACTCAACCAACCAACAATAAGCATCAATCACCATGGACGGGAGAAACCTAAAGGAAGTAGTCTCTTACACCTACCTGCCTACCTAGGCAGAATCGTTTCAGCTACAGGCGGGACAGATGAGAATATCAAAGCCAGGATCGGAAAGACAGCAAGGCAGACTTCATTAACCTGAAACCAATATGAAGCTCTACTGCAATCCACTCCACTCAACATAAAAAACAAGATCCACATTTTCTACACTAATTCAGTCAAGTCAGTGCTTCTATATGGTTCAAAAACTTGGCGCGATACGAAAATCATTTTCAACAAACTACAGATATTAATCAACAGCTGCCTACGCTAGCTACTGGAGATCAGATGGCCAAAAAGAAGGAACTCTATCTGGGCAAAGAAACAAATGGACAACCCATCGTTCAACAAATATTCAGAAGAGAGTGGAGACAGAATAGGAATACTTTGAGATCACTCGGGGACATCACACGCCAGATCAGGCCGTCGAGTGGAATCCAGATGAGAAATGATGAGTTGGGCGTCGGAGGGTGATATGGAGGAGATGATATGAGGAAGAAATGAAAGCTTGTGGGTTTTTGTGGAGCCAGATCGAAAAGACTGCAGAGAACAGAGTCGAATGGAGACGTTCTACTGAAGTCCTATATTCCACTGAGAACCCAAGGGACAGTTAATAATAATAATAATAATAATAATAATAATAATAATAATAATAATAATAATGATAACGTAAGAGGAGTAGACAGCTAATCACTTGACCTATTTTGGAAATGAATATGAATATGAAAAGTTTGCTTACATGTATATTCCTACTTGTTGAGGATTCCACAAAAATGGCGAGCCCATGAGGTAAATAACAATATATTGAAGATCGACCATAGAGCTAATTGAAGCGAGTATAACAATTACTATTACCATAATCAAGATTGGGTCCAAATGTCTGAGAGCCTACAACAACATGTAATCAAAACAAAAACTGAATTTCGTCAGTGCGCTCGTACAACGTCAGACTTTGCATAGTAGTAGATTTGAAAATATAGAACAATCAGACCAGGTTTCATTTCTTCAGGCTAAATTCATTAAAAATGTCTTAGCGTTAGTATCCAATTATAAATATCATGTCAGTAATTTAGTGAATTAACTTTTAAGCTTGATGGAATCTCCACGTAAAGGAAAACTCTAAGTGCTCTGTAGAAAGAGTTTGGGGAGAGCTGTAATAATCTTTTTTGTCGTCCAGTTGATTAAAGATAGTTGCAAGAGGTCTGCTAAGAATTTTTTACATAGTGACACTCTGAAGTTTTCCTTTAAGAAGAAGTCGGAGAAGAAAGGAGAGGAGATACAGGCCAAACTCCAAAACATCGTCTTTATGCTGCAGTCAATATCTCTCAGCTAGATTTCGAAAAAAAGGTGTGCAGTTCTCAGAGTTGCACTCAGGAAATCTATGTAACACAGCTATAGATCTGTGACGTTAAACCATGGAAAGGAGCCTCTATTATATGTATTAAGCTGACAACCACTTGACACGCTTACTGATGAAGGAAGAAAACTTTCTTTCTAGATGATATTTTAATTTGTCCACTAAATAAAATTTGATGAGTTCACTTGCGTTAAGAACCGTGGAATACCTGACTTATCTGGAGAGACACTCTATTTGAACATACATCAAATTTCCTTGGGATGATTCAAAAGCAGTCGGGTCGGAGGTAGTCAGCGACCACCAGTAGAACTGTCTACAGAGGAAAGTGTTTGAACTAATTCAGGTATGATTTTTCTTTGAAAAACACGTGTAGACATTAAGACAATGAAAGATATATTCATAAGCGGAATATCTCTTCGTTATTGTTCATGGAATATTTTTCCGAATTTCTAAAGTAAAGACTACTGCAGATACTCTCATTAAGCTCCTAATTGAACTTGATGGAAAAAAACATTTTAGCGAGGTTATTTCTACAGTTGCATTCTATCAGTCAATAAGATAATCACCAGATCAAGAAAATTACGCATATCACATGAACTAGGTAGGCAAGTGGAAATCAATAATCCCGGCTTCTCCTATTTGTTTGTTCTTAGGCGATTGAAATGTAAATTAAGCGTTCATGAATATGAAGGTTTTAGTAGTTTCCAACGACAGTTATTTCATGGTTAAAAAATATCGTGAATTCATACCTCATTTTTCCTTCTCCCATGTCACCTTCTTGAAGTAACTTTCAGTTAAATAACACTACCCATCTTTTTAGTTACTGACAGTAATCAGACAGTTATTTTCTTCTAAACGAAACATTCCATTATTGTCATGCAGTTTGAAAGCCCATAGCTTCTTCCTACCACGTGCCTCTTCCTCAGTTTGCAAACGTGAAGATTTCACCAGGCATGATCTAAATTATCAGTAATTTTTATGGCTCTACTCAGCTATTTCTTCTGATTTCACTTGCGTTGCACAAATGTCATGTCATTCAAATTACGCCAGTAACTCTTAGTCATAATGAAATGAACTAAATCACTTACAAATAAGTTTAAAATCAATGTTTACACACAATGGTAAGACTTTCAAGCTTAGGTAATATTTCCAACGAAATAATACCTATAATCATATCAGATACCTTTTGTTATCTCCTCTTCAATGGTGACAAGTATATGTACAAATGATTGGAGTTCTAATACTTTCAGCACATTTGGTGTTCTAAACTACTCAGACTGAAGCAGCTGATGTGCGACTCTATATTAAAATGATGTCATATTATTTTATTCACTTTATTTTCTTCTCTCTACTTAAAAGGGTATACTGTATCTGCGACCGGCATATAAAGCATTCGTGACCATCATGAAAGTACTCAATACATAAATAAATATCTCGAACTTTGATTCTTACAAACATATTCCTGGTAATTACTGCTATCAAATACCTAGGCAGTTTACAATATACCATGGAACATCAGTTGATATAACAACTTGCTTGTAATTTTATGATGAACCTCTTCTTCCAGTTTTGTTGGATTTCAATAGTACGGATATCGTCCTCGACACCATCGACTCCAGCACCATTCGTACTATCTCCATCCATCATTTCACTGACATTTGTTGCCTTATTAAAGGCTTTACGGGTTCTGGTAAAATGCAGATCAATATTAGACTTGGGACAAACAAGGAAACGCAAGTGATAACTGCAGCATTGAAACCATATCGATAAATAATTGTTCCTGTGAGATGAAAATGAAAAAATCAACTGAAGTTTGGTAGATAAATAGAGTCATTTGTTTCACATAGTACTGATGACTGTTAAAAGTTGTTTTGTATGTTGTATATGTAACCTTTTTTTGTTAAAGCATGTGGACTCAAAATTTATGAATACAGATTTATATTTCTTGTTTATTTGGGGGTAGCATGTAACCACTAGCCGTATAAGAAATATAGAATTTAATCACGTGGTATTTTGGGGATTCAAATATAAGATATGTGTTTTGTCACATGTATATTCTTGCACCTCAGTAAGTGATGACATTTCATTGAGACGTGAATTTAGCATCCAAATGTCAAAGTGTTATCCACCTGGCTAAAGAAGGATGACAGCCAGCCTCTGGGCAGCGAGTAGTAGTTACTAATATTTGTTGTTGTTTGCAATTTCGCGTTGTTATACTGGATAGCACTGATCAAATTCTGCTTTCATATGGGTTCATATGTTAGTGCCTGGCTATTGTCTTAGCATTGATGTTATCCACTTAGTGGTAAACTATAAATTTATAGCTTATTGGTAGCAAATTGTAACAATAAATTGTCAGGCAATTTCGAGACACCTACATAAGAACCCATATTCCAGCCGAGGTTGATCAGTTCTATTTTGCGGGAAATTCAACTATGAATTAACAATAAGGCATAATGAAACTAAAGTGAATGGATCAAATTGAATTCGTTCATAATTTTTAGACTACATACCTCCAATCGGGCTACCCATAGATGAACAAAGTAAGGCTATGCTTTCAAAGACTGTGAACCAAGCCATATCTCTTGATTTGTTTTTTCCTCTGAAATTGTATTGTCACTTTTGATTTGATTGACATATGATAGTCTTGTAACATCCACCATTACTGCTGCAACTTGGGAATAGAGAGATAAAAGGCCACCACCGAAAAATGCTTCGAAAAATCCACCAGCGATTATTATCCATACGCTGAGTTGCATTGTGACTACTAAACCTATATGTTCAACCATAAGATATTAGTTGTTTTTGAGGTTTGAAATGACGATGATAAACAATTCTCATAACTGTCAATTTAACTATTAACAGAGTTATTTTCATAATATTTTTTGTGTATTGTGGAATTTATAATATGCACTGAATTTGTAATTCACTTTCTGCGAGTAGAAAAAAACTTAGGAAAATCACATTCTCAAACTTTCAAACTTAGTTTGCATACAGTCAATTCACAAGTAGCAATAAATGCGGTCACAAACAGTTAACTCTAGCGGATGATTTCAATTTTTCTAAAACTTCAGTCTACTCATGCATTGTAATAGGAACAAGATTTTTAGTAAGAAAACATGTCTGCTTAAACATTCAAAATGATATCTACATTATAGTAGAAATTTAAAAAGGGATTCCTAGCCAGCTGCTAAAATTCACAAAAAGATACCAGGATGTTATAATTAGGAAGACAAGACACGAATGCCGACTTGAACAATACTTAAAAATGGCTTAGAACTAGTTTATTAGTCAGTGTAAAGTAGCTAGAGCTGTGAAGCTTACTGTTCATTTTGTTTCGGAGGCTGACACTTTCATTAAGTTCCAAAACAAAGGTAACTCTCATACTGCAATTCTTAGATAAATAATTATTGTTGCAGTCAGAAGGACATATAACCTAGCTTCGGTTAAATGACCGAAGCCACCAAGCCCGTATACTCTTTGATACACTTACTGTATGTGAACAACAATTTCACATCTTATTGTATCCACCGTATTTATGAGGATGTGATAACATATGCATAGAGAGGACTTATAAATGTACGCACGTTAATGTCTACAAGCATATTACAAAGTTGTTTCGAATTAAACCGAATAATCTGGTCCATAAATGTTGGTAGCAGGCATCTAAGATCTTCACTTCAGAAAAACAGCATTGATTTATGCTATAGGATAGGTCTTTCTATACATCTTAGACCTACTGACGGGGAGTTTTAGGAAAGGATCCAGAAATTTGTCGACGCCTTATTTATTAGTAAGTAAAAGCTATCTTTGTTGGTTCAGAAACACTTAGTCACTATATTAAAGCTTTCTTGGGGAATTCGGCTTAGAAACCAAATTTGGTGCTCTGTTATCTTTGCTATACTGACTTTCATTCTTATTTTGGCATTCAGTTTCACCCTTGTACTTGACCTCCTTTCATATTCTTATATATTATTGCTTTACGACCTTTCATGAGATACCTTTGACGATTACTTATGTCAGCACATAGTTCGAAACGTGTTGTGTAGATTACACGATCCAGACGAGCCGGTTTTCTGTTTTCCAAGGGTTGAAATCCCTGGAATGCTAGCCAACATACCACCAGGATTCACAAATGGGTTTTAATTTTCCATTGTTACCAGTGGCTTGATTAAATTATCTAGGTACTTTATACAAATTGAAGGATGCTGAAGAGGTGGTTTCTACTCATATTCATAGATTCCTTTAAAGTGCTATTTTTTGGAAATGTTCAGTCCTGCTAAAGATATCAGCATGTAAATCAGCGTCATTTGGTCAATGAATGATGAAAACCAAAAAATTGGAACAAGAAAATATTGTCAGTCACTGAACAAGGCTTCAAGCATCCAGGTTCCCTGCTACGTTTCCAGTTAGACCAACTTGTTCATGACTTTTTGCCTTAACAAGCTTGACACACTGACATCTGATGACCTTAAGACTTTCCCAAATCATTTGTTTAGAAATCATAACTCTTTCAAAAAAACAATCTTCGATTTATCATGAGGATTAAGTTGGTTTTTTCTGTCCTGCTGTTATGTCTGCCACATTTAAAAAGTTATTTTCGATTTTAAACGCTGTGAAATCAGTCTTCCTATTTTTGACGACATGATTTTGAAAGTTTTTCACTCAAACTCAAGTGAAATGCTACTTCTTACCCTTAAAACACAACCAAAAGTACTACTCCACCCATTATTTTGCATGGTCTCGTTCCAAAAGATAAGAATAGTCAACACGTATCGAAAGATCACTCTCATGATTTTTCATCATTCATATCATAGTTCAAGTAACATTCATTACTGTCCCATTTTTCATGAAGTAAACACCATCACACACGTTGCAAGTGAGTATTTCAGACTAAACTTAGTTCGGCGTAAGCTTGTGAAAAAATCCTGAATCGTTTGTAGTCACAGTATTCGTTTTGCAAGCCAGTGTACATACATTCTGGGTTGGAGTCCAGTCTATCAAACACGCTTTCCGACAACCAGCATCACAGACTTTTGAATGATCTGGATGATTGACATAAATGAAAGGAGTGATAATCATATGGATGGATTAGACATTTTCAGATGGTAAATTGGGTAACAACTCTGCCAATGTCGTAATTCAATGCAGTTTACAACTGCTTGTTTATTTTATTTCCAATATAGCAACATCGCATTATTAAGTTATGATTCCCCGTACCTCAGTTCACTCACTTCCAAGTGTGGACGAAACTGACATATAATTGATTGTAATACGTTTTCTAGTAATAAGGTAATCGCTTACTAATGATCAGTATGTGCAGGGATTCTCCAAAGATAAGAATGCCTACGGCAACTCGTCGACCGTAGCGATCCGAAATGTATCCAATAATCAACATAGAAACTAAGCCAAGTGTGATCCTGACTGCATTCGTGACAGATTCCAGTGTAGCCGCTTTTCGCTGCGCAACTTTCAGTTTTGCTTGATCATCTGATGAACTAAAATAACATTCACGAAATGAGGAAACGCATTAATAAATACGCACACTGGAAGGTAGAACACTAATCTTTACGCTGCTCAAATAATTGTACTTAGCTGAAGTAGAAATGAGGTTGTCGCTTAACATTTATATGCTCTTTATTTTCGTTCCCTTAAATTACTAAAAAAAAGTATCAAATATCTTTAACTCTTGACGATCTCTGTCGGAAGTAGCTGTTTTTGAAATGAAAACTAGTTCCCGTCTGCAGCTTCTTTTAATATGTTTGGAAAGATATATTTTAAAAATATTTTAGTCATATGAAACCTTATTTTCAACCGTAGACACTTAAGATGGTATTTAGTACTAGTGCGTATCCATAATTGGCATTATTTAAAAGATAATAATTGAGCGCACTATTGAAGGTCATGTGAGTCTGGAATATGCAAAAGAAACTGATCAGTTAATAAGTTTTGATGTCAAAAATTAATGATATAATCTCAACTTAAATTATTTGCACATCTTGAAAGTGCCTTGTTTAATGCAACTGAAAAAGGTGAACAAAATAAAGGCCTAAGTTGTGGTATTGTCACATGGTATTGTATGTAGACGTAAACCATTTTGAAGCAAACATTTTCAAATTTATGCTATTGCCATATTGACAAAGAGAGTTTACCATTATATGCTCATAAGAGGCTTATTATAAATGGAGTTTCGATACTTATTCACTAATATTGTGGTTTTGAAATGTGAAAATTCCTTTATTTGTTTGTAGCTGCAGTCAAACATACTGAAACCATTAAGTAATTAACTTACTCAATCAATCTTATTCAATTCCTTGACGACGATTATTGTTTTTCTGCGTTAATATGACGTCTAGAGTTCCTGAATATGGGGCGGGGAGCGCAGAAGATTTGTGACTCAAAATAAGGATCTAGAGTTAAAGCCGACTGGGCAATTACATCCAAAATCAAATTCAAACGATTTAAGAGAACCGGATGTTCAGCAAATCATTCTCAGATTGTTCCCGATAGAGGATTATTCAATTCTCTTCATATATCTTAATCCCTGTATGGAATACTGCTAACGTTTCTCTTAAACACCAAGTTCAATTTCACAGAAAAATAGCAGTAAGATTAATTTTTGCAACATGTTTACACTTTTTTCGATAATTGCCGAAAGTCAGTGATAAAAAATACTGAATCCTCAATCTAACTGGTTGATTCGTATAACTAAGCATTTAATAAAGACAAGAATTGTCAGTTGGTAAAAATATATCTACACTGCACACAACAGTGAATTTTTCTTATTTTTGACGCTGTTTGTACCATAAAATACATTTATGACCATTTTATATAGATCGGCTATTGTTAAATCACCAATTTTGACCTTGTAGTTTCTTTGCATAGAGCATATCAACCAGTTAGCCGTTTAAATACTGCACTAACCAGCTCAAATAAGGAGCAGAAAGTTCATGGTTTGTGTAAAAACAATCTTAGTTGCAATTTCAATATAGGAAATTGATGTGTTCTTGAGAATGACTAATTTTTTTCCGCGTCTCTCTTGCTACTTAGTCCAAAGAGAAAGGTGTAAAATGCTTGACTCTTCACATTCCAATCGAAAAACATTACCACTTGATTAAATTTGGTCAGTGGCCATTGGTAGTCTAACTTGCTATCATCGATTTCTTTTTGTAACCGGTTATCAAGTAGAGCACTCAACTAAGGATCAACCAGCATCTAATAAAAATGCATTCCAAACGCAGAAGTTAACTTACAGATTCCTATATTTGTGCCTTTCCTGACGAGTTAGATATGGGAGTCCTTGTTCAGTGACAGCACTGAAGTTAAAAAAAGATGGTGTAAGTAATTTGCAAAAAAAACTTTGAAATAATTACTGGTAATACTCATTCGTTAGGATATTATACAAACTTACAATGAGCAAGAGAACTCAACTGAAAATATCACTTGTGCACCGATTTCTTGAAGGTGATAAATAATTTTACTGTGTTCATTAACTGCGAATCAACTCGAGAAGGCGATTCACTCATTTTCCTCATCTTACTAGTTTTGGCCACTTTGTTTTTCAGCCTGAGTGATTAAAAGTGACGCCGCTCGAATTTACTCCAAGCATTACTGACGTAACGCTACCAGAAAAATAATTGATATTTATTCTCATTCACTCATTTCTTTATTTAACAAATACTCATTTAAACGAACATAGTTTTGAATATTTTACTTATTCTCTGTTCTGTCACTGGTAGTTTACGCTGGAAGTGAGAAAACGTACTTCTGAGTATGATAATAAATCAAAACCCAGAGTTCACTTTTCGTAACGCTTGCTGCTGGAGGAACAGAATGGCTTGACACATAGCATAAAAATCTGGTATCAAACGACAAACAACACTCCGCACGCATACTTTTAAACTTGTTGTGTGACGCAACAAAATATCCGCCGAAAAGTCAACCGCCATAAACTAGTAATATTTGCCTACTGGCCACCAAGAAATAAAAAGTGTAACTCACTTCACATAATTTACACCAAGGAATCCGGTAGTAATAAATAAAGCATCACAAAAAGTATAAAGACTTAAAAAGTTGAAGAACAATCGAATGCTAAAATTCAAGACGAAATGTTATGTACCTAACATTCTTTAAAAAGTTTTTAGACAATTTCTCACACTAAGGAAAAGTAACCAAGTTATTTGTTGCCACATATACCATAAAATTACAGTCGATAAAATAAAAACCAGAACCATATGAAGAAATAATAAGTAGGTTCAAACACCAAGAATACTATAAAAACAAATTAATAAACTACGAGTAATCCAAAATCAACTTTGAACTAATACAATAAAAAGAATCCACAAAATGCAGTTTGTTATCAATGATCCTCGAAAAGAAATAAGACTAATAGACAAAGTCTATTTCTGACACCACATAACTGAACATGATATTTCATCCATAAATTATGAGATTAAAACAGATATCCATGCAACTTCTGTGTCTTCAGTTTTATCATACAGAATTTATTCATGGACAATTACAGTTAACTGTTTAACAGATGTGCACTGAATCAGTTATCCAATCCCAGTCACTGTGACCGCCTAGAAAAGACATTCTTTTAAGATACTGATTATTTTTCTTGTTTTCAAGCTTTATTGTCATATTATTTATCCATACACTAGAAACTGACATTGCAACTATGTTTTACATAATGCTATTGTTGATAAACTCTAGTGTTATAAAGGATTGAATTGTTTGACCTCTGTTGGCAAATAGGCTCTCATGCGAATGCTTCGATATCGCCTGGATATTTTTTAAGATAATTCACTTGGCTGTGGCTAGCAGATTTAGTATAACAGGGGAGAATTACAAGTATGCTAACAAATGGTAATAACTGATATCCGTTGTACAAAAGGTGGGTATCGTACGTGAGTGGTCTGTCTTTTGGAGAGATAATTAGGTGGTTCGGGTACAAGAGGGAACAACATCATCCACTGGGGTGCAGGTACATCCAGCTGATGAACCCCAGATAGATCGAAACGGGCGTTGTGGGTTCCTCCGTTGGCCAAAACTAAGTAAATTATACTTTACATGTTTTAAAAAACAGCACAATCTTATGTTTACTCAAAAAGTACAGCGCAAAGAAACCGGTTTCGGTGCTGCATTACTTTCTTTATTTCATCTGCTGCACAATGCGGCTCCCTTGCATACTGTATGAGGACACGATCGTAGTGTTTTGTACCCAGTAATGTTAGAGCAAATTTCGGATTTGAATATTACTTCATATTTATCGCGTACAAGTCAAAGAGGTTTTGTAAAGACCCGAGAATCGAAGTTAACATAATTACCATAATTAATATTTAGACTATTTTGAGGCATCCACATACGAGTCCATATTGTGGCCGAACAATTTGATTCAGTAAAAGAATGGAAAATTGAAAGCATACCGGTAAATAATAACAATTACAATCAGTTTAAAAAACCTGCTCCATCATCAAATGTGCTCCATCCGTGGAATAATAATTTCGATAAAAAATTCCTCAGAGTAAATAAATCTTTGACGTTAGGTATAATTTGTATTTGTGTTAGTCATAGAGTGTTTGAAATGAAATAGTTCCAACGCTTTATACGGAAGTCTGGTTCGAGCTTCTTCAGTGAAGTAAAATTAAAATATCAAGAATATTAAAATGAATCCGAAGACGCGTTTTTAATCTCGTTGTCTAATTCCCTTCGTATAGTCAACGCCTTTCTGAAACATGATTACTAATCATTCATTATGAAATTGTATATCTCGTTGTTTGGTTGGATCGAATGTATGTGCTTTTGAGTCACTATCCCTATTCTTCTTGGTTGTAAATATATGGCAAAAAGGTCACGGGTAACATTATAGTCATTTGGTAATTCTATTAGTGCCAAAGGGCATATGAAGCGGACAAGTGTGTTATTTCGGTTGGCTTATTGGGCTACATAGTACCAATGAATTTTTTGTTGATTTGTCTAATTAGAGTGAAGATGAATGTTGGTAATGACAGAGGTGATGATAATGATGAACCAGTTGAATCCGGACTGTTTTGTTGTTGGTGCAGATATTATAAAGTTGGGACAAATGTTGAAGGTAAATTCTAGAGTCACTCTTTCTGCTCACCAGCTAGTAACTGCTAAGACGTAGGTAACGGTACTCATTCTCGTCTGTTCAGACTGTTGGTATTTGCTTATATATGCATCGTTTTTACTGTCATTTTTTCTTGGTATGACCCAAAACCCATTTGTAGAAACTTGGTTCCGTCAAAGTCAAATTTATGGCCAATTTCTGTGAAGCGTAATGCGACTGCTGACTTGTTCTCAAGTCTCTTAACCTCCTCAAAGGTTTTTGGAATCTGCTTTAGGCATGTTCGACGCTCCTTTACTCCAAAACTTAACTGCCTGGCTGTCTCTCCCATACACACTGCATTACAATTTGCGCATTTGATTTGATAGACCTAATTCTGTTGATTTTTTTCTTTGGGCACTACACCTTTAACTTTCATTAAGTTAGATCATAGGATATTTGTTGTACGAAAGAAAACTTTGTCAGGTTTGTTGGGGATCTTTCTTATTTCTTCCGAGGTCTCGTTACGATACGGGATTATGACTGTGTTAATCCAGTTCTTCAGAAAGAGATTTGGTACATCCTTAACTTTAAAATTATTTGATTCTTGTGTGCGGAAAACGTACCGTAATTCTTCTTCTTTATCCTCTTTTGTTATAAGGAAGCGGTTAGCCCTGCAGACCAGATTCTGTAAGACTGTCACTTTAGTGGTCAAGGATGCTCAGATTAACAACCTAGGTATCTGTCAAAATATGCTGTTTTTCTAAAGATCTTAATCTTTACTTGATTGTAATGCTGTTTTTCAACCATTATTCTTGTCTACTATTTACTATGGTGTATTCTGAAAATTTGAGGCACGATTAATCCTTTTTCTGAGCCGGTACCCTGAGAAGCACACTAAAAGTCAGGGGAATACGAAGAAATGTGTTGTACATGGAGTTACAGTATTTCCATAACTGTTTCAATCTTTTCTAATTTCTATTATTTCAAATGCAATGCGTAACAGAAAATTATTTCCTATGACAATTCACTGTGCATTATCAAAGGTTATCAGGCCGAAATTCTAAATAAGGACATACGTATATGGTTAACTAAGCGTAAAGAAGATATTTTTATTCTTGCGTCCTAATTCACTGATTTTATGAAATAATCGAGCATGTTATTGATGCGAGTATTTCTTGGTGAATATGGAATTGTTATTTCCACTGGGTTAACAGACTAGAAAATATGCACTGTCAGTGCATAGAAAAATTCACTGTCTACAACTGTAACATCAAAAGGGAGATGGACTGGCGTCTCTGGTGGTATGTGTTTGTTTTCAGGGTTACGAGTTTTGTACGTTCTGTGTAACAATGTCGACATAGGAAAAAAAACGAAAAGTTCTATTCACTTGTAAATCACCTCCTATTGATGTATTACCAATGTAGATGTATCTGACAATAGTGGGAATGAGATGTATTAGGCTCCTCAGCGATGTGTTCAGGCTGCATAGACAGTGGTTGAATCGATTACGGAGTTTTGTACAAGAAAATGGATCAGGAAAATTCGAAACAACATTCTTCCTTCAATCCAATCTCGATTTTGCTTTTTGAATTTTTTAAATACTTACTCCATAAACCTTTTTCTCCTGGCTTTCTAAATTAATGGTCTTTTAGTTAAATTATGTTTCACCAGTGTATAAATGTTAAATGTAACTACCAGACTATTATTCTTCTGAGGGGGGCTGTATTGCTTATCTCTAAAATAAATTTGTTCGTTTAAGCATTGTGCATGTAAGTAGAAAAACTTAGTATTTCACGATTTTACTATCATTCAATTGATTACACAACCATTAAAATATTGCCAAATAATGTTTTTACATTTGTCTGTTCATCGTAAAGAATTGCATGTTTTTTGACCAAATCTTTATGAAGCCTTACTTTTAAAATTTAACTGAATGTACTTTTGAAGTGGTGAAAACATATTTTCTGGAAAAATACCTACTAACCATTTCCTAGTGATGTCTTATTTTCTGTGATCATGTTGCCACTAGTAAGTGACAGAATGAAATTCATTCCCAGTAATAGATTTTGTTAGTGAATCATCCGCTGCATAGACATCTTTATCGTATTCACAATAGCTTTCAGTCTGCGCTTTTGATCGCAAACAGTTTGGTTAGCTATTTTCTTTTTCCTTGGCAAATGGCATTTCTTTGTAAGGGTAGATGTGACTATGCAGAATATAAAAACAGTTTATGAAGTCAAAAAAACATTTAACGATCTTAAATTTGTACACTTTAGTTAAGTATGGAAAAAAAACATTGGTCTCGCCTAAACAGACTCGAAGGGATGCTTCTACTTTCGGGCTGATATCCTCAGCCAGTGAACGTTTTGCTGAGTTTTCAACCAAATAGCCGAAATCACAGAATAAAGTATTATGGACGCCAGTGATTCCTTATTGTGTACCATTCCTCATTCCACCTTACAGATTACCAAAAATGGGATTATTGCGATTTTATGGCAATCAGTTGCTCCTCACTTATAATTATTCCCGATCGGTGCAATCGGTGTCGTTATAGTGACAGTTTTCTTCATCTACTGTAATTAGCAGTACCATCATTTTTGTCTGAAATATATATCTCCTGTAATCTTTAGGAAAATATACACGGGGATTCAGTTATGGTCGTTCATTACTTTTCTATGTTCATATGCATTATGCTTCCGAAATTCCTAAAATCGATATGCCTCCTGATGAATGGCAGCAGATATCATTAATACTTATGACTTTTTTGAAATAACAGTTGCGAGACTTCCAAATTTAGTTCACAATAAGGTAATAAGTAAAATAGTTCCCCATTAAGTTCGCAGTATATAGTTTCAAGGTTACTGAAGTATTTTGATAATTGAGGAGTCCAATAAATAGATTTCCTACAGGCATTCGTTAGGTCAACAGTTCTTATTTATGTTTATAATAACCGGCCTTGATCATACAAATATCGTCTCGTAAAACATTGCTACGTTGTTGTTTTCCAAATTCAACAATTAATATAACAGTAAAGATAAGTGTAAAAAAATGGATATTGCATTTACCTGTAAAACACATACTGGTCGGAAATGAAAAGACATAGTTCGATTGAGAGGTAGAGTGTTACTGTCATGAATACCAGGATAGTGACAATTTTCGCTTTTAAAGACATGCAGCCATTGCCGAATTCGTTTTGTCCCATTTTGAGTTGAAAGATGATGGCGCACAGATGCTCTTGTTTTCAGAATAAGTCAAGTATTCAGTCGAGAAGTCAAGTAGATTATCTCGCTATTTTATGTGTCAAATCATTTGACTTATAAATTACGATGACCAATTAAATGAATAAAGCGCTTCCATTGGTTCATTTAACATGTGCATAATGTCTAACTTATGTTGGTTACTGCTTCATATAGGCTGAGTAAATCATTCTAAGCACCTCAAACGTTCACTTTAGTGAAAAGGATTTATTTTGACTATTCAATGTATACCCCAAAAGAGGGAAAATAAAGTTAACTCGTCAGATTTGTAGCACAGCATGGTGAAACTCAAAGGTTACAGTATCAGACAAACCACTTGATTCATGTACAACATGTAGCTGATGAACTGATGCAATACCTGAGGTGAACCAAGTACAGTTAAGGGCAAGGCCGTCTCATATATTGTCGTCGCAAATGGTTCTAGCATCATTTCACATCTTATGTAACCTAATATTAGTATGCATAAATAGACTAATAATTTTTGCCTTAACCGGATAATCTGACATTTTTTCTGTTGTGTTATGTAAAAGCAACATGGATGTATGCAAAGACACCTTACCTAATCCTTATAAAGGGTGAGAATAAGAATTTCACTATCACTATACCAGATAAGGGGTTGGCGTGGCCATTATGGAAAGAAAGGTTTGTTTGGAAAAGATGAACTTCATCTTACAAAACTGTAGAAATTTACAGAAGTCAAAGTCACCAGCTGAGAAGGTAGAAAGGAATATAATATCAACACCAACAAAGCTTGAACGAGAAGGGTAAGCAATATTCGGAAATTTGAATCCTGTGGCCTATGTTGTTTCTTATATGTATGGTCTACTAAAAACGTATAAACTTGAAATAACACTTCATCTAATACTAGCTTAATCACACCATTATGGTAATTTGCTTTGGCTGGCAGAGGAATCCAGGACACACGTTTCGTCCTGTTTGGGACTCGTCAAATGGGTGTACCTGCATCCCAGTGAGCGGTGTTGTTCCCACTACGACTCAAACGCAGTCTGACGAGACAAACTTGCGTTATGGATTCCTCTGCTAGCCACAACCAAGTACAGTACCACAATAAACATTTGAGCACTGTCGAGGTATCCGCACAGAAACCTATGTCCCGAAAGAGGTGGAACAATTCTTCCCAGTATAACACTGGGGAATTACAATTATGTCAACAAACCTCTACCATGAGATTGTAAAGTAGTTGATAAAGTGCTACTGGCAATACATGTTGAATTGACAAAATGTAGTGTCGAAGATACTTCCCAATACCTCAATAGAATAAGCAGCCTAAATATACCAGGAAGTAAATGATATATCCTGGCATAACATTTTTTGTCTATTAGTGTTCCTTTCATGAAACTGTTAATTTGTAGCTGGTGGAACAAAAATGAATACGGGTGTTGCTCGAATTTGTGCTAAATTGTACAGACAATTTTCAGTTCCAATTCATTGGTGAAACTTACGAAAATTCCGACGACGTAGCAATGAGATCTGCACTAGGATTAATACTAACTAGCACATTTTTTTAAGAACTATAAAACAACCCTTTAAACAATAACACTACCAATATGGATTTTTTATCTTGCCTGTACTAAGTGATGCACTTTTACCATTGGTTCAATCGTGAAGTACTTCATTATTACTCATGAAGTAGCTGATTTTACTTCCAGAAGGGAACAGAACAACTATCTTCATTTCTTTGACAATTTATTGAAAAGAAACGAAGATGACTCAACAAAAAATATATGTATAAAAACTACCACAGCGCAGTATGCATACTTCCTCAATTTTAACTAATGAAGTACGAGCGAAAAGTGACCATGTGCTTGGTGTTTAGAGCAAGCTTGACCTGCACCGTGCAGCAAGTAGGGAAAGAACTACAAGCCCTCCATGCGACTGTAAGGAAGTGAGATCTTGATCAGTTTACAAAAGCAAATATTATTATTATTACTATTATTTGCCCCTTGAGTTCCTAGTGGAACATGGGGTCTCAGTAGCATGTCTCCATTCCACTCTGTTCTCTGCCATCTTTTAAAACTGGCTCCACGACTCCCCACAAGCTCTCATTTCCTCCTCGCACGATCTTCTCCATGTCACCCTCATCTCGGACGCCCAACTCGTCACTTCCCATCTGGGTTCCACTCGACGGCCCGATCTGGCGCGTGATGCCCCCAGTCGGCCTTCTCAGTGTATGCCCAATCCATCTCCACTTCCTTACAATGAACAGTTGTTCAGCGATAGGTTCTTGGTTGGTTCGTCACCAGCCACAGTGAGTTCACTGCTGCTCATTCTTACTATTCTGGCCATCTGATCTTCAATAATGAGCCAGCGTAGACAGTTGTTGATGAATGTCTGTAGTTTGTTGGAAATGCTTTTCGTGACGCGCCAAGTCTGTCAACCATCACATAGAAGCAGTGACTGACTTGACTGAAGTTGGTGTTGAAAATCCGGATCTTGTTCACACTCTATGCTGAGTGCAGAAGATCTCCACACTGGTTTCAGGCTAATGAACACCTGTCTTGCTTTTCCGATCCTGCCTGGCTTTGAAGTCCTCGTCTGTGCCGCCTGTAGTTGAAACGATGCTGCCTCGCCTAGATAGGTGAAAGAGGCTGCTTCCTTTACATTTCTCCTGTTGATGGTGATTGGAGTTTGTTGTTGTTGTTGGTGGTGGTGGTGTTGGTTGGGTATCTTCATCACCTCTGTCTTCTCTACGTCCACCTGAAGGAAGTCCCGTCTTCGCTTCCCTGCCTCACCTCTTCTACCAACTTGTTAGTTTTCGCCTCTAGATCTTCAAGTTTGTGCGACGTTAGACACATATCATCATCGGCGAAATCCAAATCTCCTCCTGGGATCTTTACCTCGGTCCAGCCAGCGTATCCCCCTCTTCTCGCCCCTCACAGTTGTCTGTTGCATGATCCAGTTCACCACAATCAGGAAGATCATGAGTGATGGTAGACAGACTTGTTTTACTCCTCTCTTCACTTCGAAAGCATCACTGAGCTTCCCATAGTGAATTATTGGCAAGTGGCATCTTCATATAGTTGTTGAATGAGAGTGATAGAGGTGTGCGGTATTCTGTAGTGTTGGAGCAGTTTCCAAATTAATTCTCGGTCGATGCTGTCGAAGGCTTTTTCAAAGTCGATGAAGTTGAGGTGTAGAGGGTTGACTGCCATCCTCTGAGTCTGCTCTTAGTGCTTCTGGTAGGATTCAATCTGGTCCTGCTGCCTTCCTGCACTTTGGTAGCTTTACGGTGCTCACAACTTCCACTTTTGTTGGAGGATTTATGTTCACTTGTAGTTCTGCGGCTGCAGATGGTATTTCTGGAGGAAGTGCAGGTGATGTTGGTGGTCGATTCAAGAGCTTCCCGAAGTGGTCACCCATCGTTCCCTTTGTTTATCTTCTTTTGTAACCAACTTTCCTTCTCTATCTTTCATTGGTTTCATGTGTGTTGTGTTGATCTCTTCCCTCATAGATAGTAACCTGCTTTTTTGATACAATGTGGTTAGGTCTGTCCTACCTGCAGCCTGCTCTGCTACACTTGCTAGTGTGTTGCAGAAGTGTCTTTTGTCTTTCCAATCACTCTTCTTCACTTCTTTGTCCAGTGTTTTATACATTGTACTCAGTTCCTCTTGCCGTTGAGCATCCTTGCACTGGTTTATCTTCTGTTTCACCATCCTCCTCTCCTTCCATGTGGAGATCCTTCGAGATCCATTCCTTATCTTCTTTCTTCTTCCTTCCTAATATGGCTGTTCAGGCTTCTTTCCATATCTCTTTCATGGACTTCCAGTGTTCTTCCACATAGCTTTCTTCAGGGATGTTCCTCGATATCTCCCATTTTGTCTGGATAGCTGCCGTGAAGATTTCCTTTATAGTTTCGTCCTTCAGTTTCCGAGTGTTGTACTTGAACTGCGGTTTATCACCAACTTCCTTGAAGGCTTTTAACTTGATTTGGAAGGTTCCTTGCACTAGATAGTGAGTGGTCTGAACCTAATCTGCTCCTCTTCTTGACCTTGTGTCACACAGGCTGCGTCTCCTTTTTTTCACAATAAAATGTAGTTGACCTGGTTTTTACCGTATCCATCATTCATTTCACCAGTGCCTCTCAACCCATGATTAGTTCTCTTCCTATGTTGTCTGCTCTCAGTTTGGTATTCATGTAACCCCACAAATAGGAATTTTGATGTCGCCATCTGGGTTGGAGTCTTGTCCACTAATAATTTCAGTTGTTTATGGAATTTCTCCTTCTCTTTATCTGCATTATTTGTAGGTGCGTAAGGTAGCATTGTATAGTTGTGACCTTCCTTCCTTCCTTTTGTCATGATCCTGATCGTGGAGGGGATTGGTTCCCACTGTGAGAGAGCACTTGATGCTCTTGAAGACATCATGATAACCACTCCAAAACTCAGTGTGCTCGTGGTTTTCGTCTAGGTGACAATATCGGAGTAGATTATTGACTTTCCAGTTGTCAATTTGGAGAGCCCACTTCCATTTCACCTGCTTTCGCATATTCCTAGCACTTCTGTGTTATACCTTGTCATCTGGTTTGCAATCTGAGCAGCCTTGCTAGATTCATACATAGTGTGGACAAAAGCAAATATTGCCCGTACTATTTTTTAGCATAAACTGTGGAGATTTGAGGGGAGCAGTTTTTTTTATGCTGTGTGATATAAATGAGACATTACAAGTGAAATGCTGTCACAACATTTATCTAGGACAATGCACAAAACGTTCTCCTCAGGACATTTGTACTTATCACTTTGGAATTACCCAGTGTTCAAACGGAGATCCAAGAATATCGTAATCAACTTTTGCTAATCTTTATATATATATATAAGTCTAACTGTCCATGTGGAGCAATTTATATGTCAATCTCGCAATACAAAGACATTTATTAGCTTGTATTTCAAAGTGTTACATCAAATCTATTAATAATACTATACACGCT